CCACATCTGCCTATCCCAGGTTCTTGGGAAGGACTTGATAGGTGGACAAAAATGCCAAATGCAATCTGAATATTTAAATGACTGTGAGACAAACCATAATAATGACAAAGAATCAGCCAGCACTGAGACTCTTCTATTGACCTCCTGGCTTCTGGCCTATAGTATTTCATAGGGTTCTATACTATTCCCCCATGCTGTTTAACATTGACAGAAATCCCCTGGAGCCTTCTGTCAATATAATAAGCAGATGAAACCGTACTTTCTCTCGTCTTTGCATCTCATTCCAAGCAGGCGGCACAGGTTTTTAAACATTTAACAGAGATCTGTTAGCTACATCTCGTAGTGATAGTCAATTGACTTCTCAAAAGAATTGTGCTTGGGCAACAGAATTGACCTGGGAATTGGAGTTCAAGCTGTGTTGACTAGTAGCACTCCTCTTGAGAAAACAGATTCACTGTTTCTCCTGGGGTCTGTCAGGTTCCGATGTCATCTCAAATAAATTGCACTCCCAAACAATTAATCTTTGCTGAAATATTCCATTTATTGAGTACGACAGATCTAACCCTTACTTTGTCGTAGCCGATACTAACCCTCTGACCCCCAAACCCTTCCCTTTCCGTTCCCTAATTCTCATGTTCTCACTGGCCATCTTCCAAGTCAGTCTCCCCAGCTTCTGATTTACCCCACAGGAATGTTCCCCCCACCATCCCATCTCCTAGGGGATATTATCTACAAAGAAATAAGTAGGTGAAAAGTCAAGCCTCATCTTTTTATGGCAGCATCAGAATGCTGACAGGGTCACCTTTTTAAGCTTGTAGGCCCCGATATTACTAAACCCCAAGAGTAACTTTATTCTGCTTAGGCTGCTATGCCAAGCCTAAACAACTCAGGTTTGTCCAAGGAAGACCTATGCTTTAGGTTAGGGGTCAGCAACCTGCGGCTCCCTGTCATTCAAAATATGTGTCACAACCACCAACGTGCAACACCCACTGGCACACAATTTATTGAGCTTTTCAACTCCCAATAGGCCAACCATGGATAAATCCAAGAACAGAAAAGTTTCAGAAGAAAACAGAACGTTTAATTCAACTACATATGCTAGTTTTGTGGCCGCTCAAGAAATAGTCAGACACAGGAAGGATTTTGTGACTCCCGGTGTTTTCTTTTCTGTGGGAAACGGGTCCAAATGGCTCTTTGAGTGTTGAAGGTTGCAGACCCCTGCTTTAGGGTCATGTTATCTGGGATACTACACTACACTGTAAAGAAATCTCAGCGAATAGCAGCACCAGAATAACCTTGTCTTTGTTTAGAACATAAAAGGCCACCAGGGAGTAGCAGGGCAGTAGGCTAAATGCCCAACACCTCAATAGAGTATCCAGAAATAAAAAAACTGGATGAAAATTGGATGAAAAGGCTGGCTCCAAGACAATTAACAGGAAGGATGTTACTCCATGTCTGCCGTTGATTTTAAAACCCTACATAGTTTAGAAACCAGTCGATACTTGAAGGCTTCTGCGGATCAGGATCAACTTGCCTGCATGTCTAGGTCACAACTGAAAGAAGCTAGAGTTGAGTGTTCTGTCCCCAACCACACGGACACACACCAACAGATGTTCAAGAGTTAAAGACCAAATCCTTTTCCTTATGATAACGGAACTTGGCAACAACCTAGTGGCTGCCTGCCAAGCGTTTATTATTTACGAAGAGGAGAGATAACTTCTCCCCACTTCTGATACATCAAAAGAAACAGCTCAATAATTACGGAGTTAATCAAGTCCAGAGATAATCCAGCAAAGTCTATAGCAAAAGTCCGGCAATGCAGAATGGTATGGAAGCTTTCAGCTTTGTTTGTCACAAAGTTTGACTGGCCACCACGCTCCCTTTTATATCCTGTGGGGTGTGGTCCAGTGACTCAGCCTAATCTCGGGCACACCTTTTCTTTTGTTGCGCGTGCTTATCTCTGCGACGCTGGCGTGGATCCAGCCAAGACTCATTACCCTCATAACTGTCCATCTGTGGCTGCGTGGATATGCTTGGCCCTGGCCCTATCTCTTGCCCTTCGGCGGACACCGAAGGCATTGCCAGAGAGGAGGGTCCTGGAGAGGGAGGCCTTGCCAACTCCTCTCCTTCACTCTCGGAGTCCTCTCCTGCCGATGACACAGGCTCAGGTAACGGAGCCACAACATTGAGATAATTCTAGCTGGAACTAAGAAGAGGGCATTTTTTTCCCCCTGTGGTTGAGCCTAACTTCTGGTAATTGGTGAAAACCTTTCACTTCAAGGTGCAATTGGGAAGTTTTTAGATTGCTCTCTGACAATTTCAAAGGCATGCATTCTTGCTAGATAGCCTTTTTAGTATTGCTTTGAGCAGCCTTCAATAATAATAACAGTAACAGAGTTGGAAGGGACCTTGGAGGTCATCTAGTCCAACCCCCTGCTAATGCAGGAGACCTATACGAACTGCCGAACTGCCGACCTTTCTGATCAGCAAGCTCAGCGTCTTAGCCACTGAGCCACCTAGCCAGGCTATACAGCATAATAATAATAATAATTTTTTAAAAAAATAATTTTATTTCTATACCGCCCTTCTCCCGAAGGACTCAGGGCGGTGTACAGCCAATTTAAAAACACAGGACACAACAATGATTAAAAATTAAAATAATTAAATAGATTTGGCCGATTTAAAACCCCAAAAATTAAAGCATAGAAAGAAACGTTCTTAAAAACAAGCAAAGCAGTTTCATCTCTGGCAAGCGAGTAGAAAACGGTGCTCGTTTGCCAATACAGGTAGTCCTTGACTTAGAACCATTCATTTAATGACCAAAGTTACAACAGTACTGAAAAAAGTGACTTATGACCGTTTTCCCAACCATTGCAGCATCCCCATGGTCACGTGATCAAAATTCAGATGCTTGGCAACTGGGAATGAAGTAATTCTCAGCTGTTATAACAAAATAGTTTTGTTTGAGACTAATTGTGTCCTGTAATGACTAAGTGAGCCTAGGTCACAACACGCACTGCATTTCCAAAACCTGTCATGAGAATTCCATCTCCATCTTTGCACGTCAGATCCAAACCTGTCATCTGCATTGTTCTTTTATTCGATTGGAACCTCTAGTTTAAATAGCAGTTACAATTACGTAGCTGGAAAATTGTCACGGTCCATATATTATAACAAAGGCTCTTTAAGTCTGTGAGCTTAACAGATGACGGTCGGGGCAACTGGAAAAGCTATAAACGTTTATCAGGCTCAGAAAGTCTTTTATCTCAAGGCTGGTAATTCTTACCCTCTCTTGTATTGATTTCGTCTCTATGAATTAGGACTCCTATGCAAGGCAGAGCGAAGGAATTTCAACTGCCTATGCAGATATTTTAAAAAGCAGAAGGATGTATTTGTTTGTAAAGCAACAGCATTAAACCATCTCTTTCTCTTTTTCACACACACACACACAAACACACACACGCCTCTTCTAAACATCAGCAAAATCTTTCAGGAGTTGGGAGGAGCGATGAGGTTCTTCCACTATTAAAGGTAGACTACAAGTTTGCTTCATATCCCCCCCCTTTTTTTAAATTTGATTTATATGCCGCCCTTCTCCGGAGACTCAGGGTGGCTTACAGTGCGTTAAGCAATAGCCTTCATACTTTTGTATATTTTATACAAATTCAGCTTATTGTGCCCACAAACCGGGTCCTCATTTTACTTACCTTAGAAAGGATGGAAGGCTGAGTCAACCTTGAGCCTGGCAAGATTCGAACTTACTTTAATTGCAGACAGCTGGTGTTAAATTACAGTGCTTTAGTCTGCAAAGCTATCCAGGCTCCTTTCATTAATAGCAATAGCACTTAAACTTATATACCGCTTCACAGTGCTTTACAGCCCTCTCTAAGCGGTTTACAGAGTCAGCCTATTGTCCCCAACAATCTGGGTCCTAATTTTACTCACTTCAGAAGGATGGAAGGCTGAGAGCATATACACCAACACAAATTCCTTGTGTGTCCAATTACACTTGGCCAATAAAGAATTCTGTTCTGTTCTGTTCTGTATTCCAAATTCTATTTCCCATGGTGGAAAAAAATCCAGAGAGAGGGAAGAAAATCCTGTTCTCTCTCAATTTCTCCACCAAATGTATATTTTCTATAAATTCTAATAAAACGGACGGCATAGGAGTAGGAAATCTGCTATTTACCAACTGTATTGGACATCATCTTCCATCAGTCCCACAGGTGTGGTTGTTGGCATAGAGTTGTGGAAGTTGTCTTTCCAAAAAGAATCAGAAGACCATCACCTGCCCTGCCCTGCTTTATCATCTTGCTTTTACATTTCTCCAAATGAAAACACCCAATTATTTATTGACAGAAATCACATATATCTTTGCTAACCAAACTGAAGTCAATCAATGATTTCCTTCTATACACTGTAGGAGAAATTGATTAGTCTATGGCAGGGGTGTCAAACTCAATTTCATTGAGGGCTGCATCAGGGTTGGGTTGATCGCAGGGGGGCGGATGGATGTGGCCAGTGTGGGCGTGGCCAGCTTGATGTCACTTGTGTCGGGGGCACCTGTGGAGGCCCGAGCGCTCTGCCAAAATAAAACAGAGTTCAGAAGGCCTGCGCGCAGCCCTCCTGAGCTCTGTTTTTGCTGGCAGAGGGTTGCATGAGGCCGTCGCAGCCAAAAACTGAGCTTGAGAGGGCTGCGTGCGGCCGTACTGATCTCCATATTCACTGGCAGAGGCACCGTGGGCTGGTCCTTCACTGTTTCCAGGGTGGCCCTGCGGGCCAGATCTAAACATCCCATGGGCCCTGGATCCTTGAGTTTAACACCCTTGGTCTATGGCAACTACAAATCAGAAGGAGTCTGATAGCACCTTTTCCAGATTAACAAATTCAATAAAACTTTATGCCATTTAATCAAACTTGTTAAGTCTTAGAAGGTGCTGTTTGTGTCCTGCATTTTATGTAAGCAAAATTAACTTCAATCACGAAAATGTCATACTTACACGGATATCTGAGGATCCCTGCTCTTCGGGGGAAATGTCTTCTGAGCAGTTCTGAAGCTTGTACATCCAGTAGTGTTTTGCAGTGATGATAAAGTTTAAGGGCAAGAGAGAGTTGGTCCCAAGGAGGAAGAAAATAATATAGGTGGCATTCCAATGGTCTTTGGGCTTTCCGAAGACATACTGGTTTGCCCCCGATTCCTCAAGGAGTGCTTTTTCTTCTTGGATTGTGGGGTTCTTTGACTTGTACAAAGAGCTTGTGCTGGCCTGGAGGTCATCTTCTCTGTCTTCCAAATCAAGAGACACTTTTATGAAGAAAATAAATATCATTACGATACCATGTTTCTCCGAAAATAAGACATCCCCTGATAATAAGCCCTCCCCGAAAATATTTAAATGCATGCACAACTGGTCACCGCCATTTCCTCTGGTTAGGGTTAGGGAGACAGAGCTGGAAATCAGGTAAGACAGCAAGAGGAGCCCCGTCTTGCTCCACTTGCCCCAAAATAATAAGACCTCCCTGAAAATAAGGCCTAGCATTTATTTCAGAGTTCAAAAAAATATAAGACAGGGTCTTATTTTCAGGGAAACATGGTAATATATTAATCACAAAATCTTTGTTACCCAATGCAAGTCCACATCATCAGAATTATTGTATGGTTTGATTCTTTGTACCAAAGCTATAAATTAAGTTAGAGCTTTCTTTCAGATAGATATGCACAATGGGGATTTCTTCTAACTCCTCCAGTCTTAATTCAATTCTCATGTTATGAAAGATGACAGTGGAAAGACTGGTCTACCTTAGGGGAAAAAAAATATAAATCTTATTATTTGAGCCGATATCTAATATTTTGTACCAAGTCAGACATCAGCTTCTTCAGCCCACTGTTCTCAGTGATTACTTTTGCTCCCTTCAGGATGGAGAGAGTTTACCCAACCCTATCTGAAGACACTAGAGATTGATGTTGAGAACTTCTCCATGAAAGGATGTAGGCTCCTTGATTAGTTGCCAGAAATAGTCTGCAGCACTCCAGAGAACTGCTGGATGGCAGCAAAGATACAGAACACTTACTCTTTCCTGCCATCTATTGGTGGTTCATAGTTCTGCAATGCAGAATTGGTAACTCTATCCTTGAGTCTATTGAGAAACAAAATCCCATCTAGCTATCATTAAGCATTGCAGCGACAGATTAAACATTCTTGATGTATTTCCAGGAGGTCCTAGGACTGGAACTGGACCGAAAATCTGTCAGGCATTGTGCATTAATTTGTAATACAGTAGCAGCTTTCCCCCGTTTCTTTGCTGTGTGTGTGTGTGTGTGTGTGTGTGTGTGTGTGTGTTTGTATCTGTATCTGTATCTGTATCTATATATCTATATCTATATCTATATCTATATCTATACCGAAAGAGAGAGAGAGAGAGAGACAGACAGACAGACAGACAGACAGAGATAATTTGCCATAATCAATTTTCCTGACTGGACACTTAGACAAAATGGTTGAAATAGGACAGTTTGACTGCCTGTTTATAAAATGGCTACTATACTTGGTATATTAGGTAGAAGGCAAGCTGACGATCAGGTCTAGATGATCAAACATCCTTTTTAGTGTGCCACATACACAGCACATGTAAAAAAAAAAAGATGTGGATCATTCTGTATTGATCTTGATTTTTTTTTTTATATTATTTTTTTTTGAGAATCAACTGGAGATCTTCTGCCAGTATGGATGTTCCTTAGTCCCTCCCTCCTTTCTCCTTTTTCTGGGCAAATGGGCCTAAGAAATCCCTTTATTTTTTGTTTGAAGGTGCTTATAGTTGATTTGGTGCCCGTAATTGTAATCAGAAACAGAGGGTACTCTGGTCTGGCACTCTGCCCTTTTCTAAACATTTTAACAAATCTAAACATATCTAAAAACTCTGATGGAATAGTCTAATGAGTGCTCAAGCAGTATCTGCAGACACACTGGGACTTACTGGTACCAGTAAGAAATCTGTCTTCCGACTCTATTTTGTCATATGGCTTGGGGAAAAAACCCTCTAAATTGTTACTCGCTCAGTTTAAAAGAAAGCACGACAAATGGTGTATAATGAATACTCCTCTGGAGGGATTATAGGTAGTCCTCAATTTATGAACACAGTTTGGGCCATATTTTATGCTGCTAGGCAAGGTGAGTGTTAAGTCAGTTGTGCCTGATTTTATGACCTTTTTTGCCACAGTTATTAAGTGAATCACTGTTGTTAAAAACTTATATGGTCATTAATTAAATCTGTCTTCCCCCATGAATTTTGCTTACTAGAAACTGACTGGGAAGGTTGCAGGTGGTGATCACATCAGCCCAGGATGCTGCAACCGTCATAATAGCACTTGGATTTATATACCGCTTCACAGTGCTTTACAGCCCTCTCTAAACAGTTCACTGAATCAGCATGCTGCCAATAATCTGGATTCGCATTTTACTGACTTCTGAAGGATTGAAGGCTGAGTCAACCTTGAGCTGGTCAGGATCGAACTGCTAGCAGTCGGCAGAATTAGCCTGCAATCCTGCATTCTAACCACTGCACCATCATGGCTGTTAAATGACTGTATACAATGCATTTTGGAGGTCTGAAGGTCCACAGCATCACCACATCCATACTGTACATGCCGGTGGCCAAACACCCAAAATTTGATGCTAGTTGTCACTTTTCCCAGTGGCACCGTAACTTCAAACTGCCACTAAATGAATGGTTGTAAGCCAAGGACTACCTGTAGAAGGCAGGTATTTGCTGCATAAAAAGAAAAAAGGAATCCAACTCAATAGATATTTTGGGGTTCAAATACTCTCAATCACGTTTCCCCCCCACCCCCATCCTTGGCAACTTTTTAAAAAAGTTCAAACATTTTAAAATTGTCCAGGTTGTGAAAAACTGCTCTAAATCACAACAGCCCAGTTCTTTGAATAATTATCACTTACAGCCACATTATCTAGGCTCCCATTTCTCCAGATGCCCTCCCATTTGGGGGTGGGAATAATAGGATACAGGTAGTCCTTAACTTACCACCACAATGAGCCCAACACTTACATCGCTAAGTAAGTTATGAGTTTTCTTGCCCCGTTTGTTAAGTGAACTACTGCAGTTGTTAAGTTAGAAACGTGATTGTTAAATGAATCCGGCTTGCCCATTGACTTTGCTTGTTAGAAAGTTGCAAAAGAGGATCACATAACTCAGGGGACACTGCAACCGTCACAAATATATGAACCAGCTGTCAAGCATCCGAATGTAAATCATACAATCGTGGGGATGCTGAAACGGGCATAAGTCACTTGTCGTCATAAATTCAAACGGTCACTAAACAAACTGTTGTAAGTCGAGGACTACCTGCATAGCCAACACCCTTAAGGACACCCTATGTGGGGAAGGGTTGGGCCAACCCCCAAAGCCAAACCCCACGGCTGTATCCACCTAGGATACAGCTGCTGTGTTGACCCTGGAAAAAATGACCCCTTAAGAGAGGCCAGCCACTCCAAAGCTGACTGAATTCTGACTTTGCAGAATCCCAACTCCAAAGCTTTCTAAATTCTAAATTCTGACTTTGCAGAATCCTGTCTCCAAAGCTTTCTAAATTCTGAATTCTGATTTTCCAGAACCCTGTCTCCAAATTTGACTGAATTCTGAATTCTGACTTTGCAGAATCCTGTCTCCAAAGCTTTCTAAATTCTGACTTTGCAGAATCCCAACTCCAAAGCTTTCTAAATTCTAATCAGGGTGGATAAAAATCAATGATTTTTTTCAAAAAATAAAAAAAAATCAGATTTTTTTGATTTAAATTGGATTTTTTTTATTTTTATCGAATTTATTTTAATAAAAAACGTTTGGGGTAAAAATCTATCATAAGATAATTTTCTATTTAAGATACATAAATAATTTAGTTTATTCAGCATGAAATGGAGCTTACTTATGTAGCATGAGGCTGTATATTCTGCAACACTGGGACTATGGGTGAGTCAACAGTGGGTCAAAGGAGTAGCAGAGATGACAGTTGCTCTTTAAAAACTATGATTTAAGTCGAGTTGATTTAAATCAAGCCTTTTTACTAGTGATTTAAATCATGATTTAAATTGTGATTTAAATCAAATCCACCCTGTTCTAAATTCTGAATTCTGACTTTGCAGAATCCTGTCTCCAAAGCTTTCTAAATTCTGAACTTCGCAGAATCCCAACTCCAAAGCTTTCTAAATTCTAAATTCTGAATTCTGATTTTGCAGAATCCTGTCTCCAAAGCTTTCTAAATTCTGATTTTGCAGAATCCTGTCTCCAAAGCTTTCTAAATTCTGACTTTGCAGAATCCCAACTCCAAAGCTTTCTAAATTCTGAATTCTGATTTTGTAGAATCCTGTCTCCAAAGCTTTCTAAATTCTGCCTTTGCAGAATCCCAACTCCAAAGCTTTCTAAATTCTAAATTCTGAATTTGAATTTTGCAGAATCCTGTCTCCAAAGCTTTCTAAATTCTGATTTTGCAGAATCCTGTTCTCCAAAGCTTTCTAAATTCTGACTTTGCAGAATCCCAACTCCAAAACTTTCTATATTCTGAATTCTGACTTCGCAGAATCCTGTCTCCAAACCTGACTCAATGTTGACTTTGCTACTGTTTTGGTTTTAGCGCGCGCACGACACTCGCGCGCGCGCACCCCGCCGGGCACACTTCCTTACACGTTTAAACAAAGTAACCGAATCTTAAAAACCTCCAGCCCGGAAATTGCTCTTTTATTTTTTATTTTTTTCCCCCCCATAGGATCGCGGGGGCGAAAATATTCGCTAGAAAAAGGTTTTTTCCACCCGCTGTAAAGGAAGGCGGCGTTGGAGACAGCCTCCCAAGCCATTAGCTTTTGGAAAACAACCCGGGCGGGGGATTCGTAAACCGGTTCCCGATTATTAGGGCGAGATTCAGACGCGCAAGAAAGACGCGCGTTGAAAAGCCCCGGATCCTTTCCAGGGAAGGGAGAAAAACAAGCGGAGGAGGAAGAGGGAAGGAAGGAAGGAAGGAAGGAAGGAACAAAACGGCAGCCGAGGGGCGAAGGAGAACAAAGCCTCGGCGGGGCCGCGCAAAAAAGCGAGCCGGAGAGCCGCGGGAGAATCCACTTACTGTCGCCGCTTCTAGGCGCCTCCCCATCTAACTCATCCGGCCGGCTCGCGGTCGGGGTTTTTGCCGAGCAAAGCCGCCACCGGCCTTCGCAAAACCCCTCCCACCGGCCGCCTCGGCCCGGGCTCGCTTCCCTCTTTGCAACCGGGCGGAGCCGCGCCCGGCAACACCGACCCGCCGCCTTTCGGAGGCCTAGTCGGAGTGCGCGCCGACAAGGCTTTAAGACCAATCTTGGTTTTCCCGCTCGCCGTTCTCCGGAACGGTTTGGAGGCCAAGAGGTGCGCCTTCTCTCGCCCCGGGAAATGCCGCGGAGACGCCCCGAAAACCTACCTTGGCACCGCTGAGGTGGTTCTTCTCTAAAGGCAGAGTTGTCCCCAAACATCTTTGAAGATTTGTGGACTTCAACCCTCAGAATCGCCCAGCCAGCAAGGGGTGTTTTGTTGAAGCCCCACACGCCTTTTATAAGTTGTCAAGGTTATATATTAATAGAATAAATATTTAACAGTAACAGAGTTGGAAGGGGCCTTGGAGGTCATCAAGTCCAACCCCCTGCTCACGTAGGAGACCTATACTAAGGATTCGAACCTGCCGACCTTTCTGATCGACAAGCTCAGCGTCTTAGCCACCTAGCCAGGCTATACAGCATAGAAAGAAATATTCTTAAAAATAAGCAAAGCAGTTTCATCTCTGGCAAGAGAGTAGAAAACGGTGCTCGTTTGCCAATACAGGTAGTCCTTGATTTAGAGCCATTCATTTAGTGACCAAAGTTAAACGGCACTGAAAAAAAGTGACTTATGACCATTTTCCCAATCACTGCAGATCTTGGAGATCATCTAGTCCAGTGGTTCTCAACCTGTGGGTCGGGACCCCTTTGGGGGTCGAACGACCCTTTCACAGGGGTCGCTTAAGACCATCAGAAAACACATATTTTCAATGGTTTTAGGAATAATTTTATGGTTGGGGGTCACCACAACATGAGGAACTGTATTAAAGGGTCGTGGCATTAGGAAGGTTGAGACCCACTGATCTAGTCCAGCCCTTTGCTCACACAGGAGACTACTAAGGATTCGAACAGCCGATCTTTCTGATCCACAAACTCAGCCTTAGCCACTGAACCACCTAGCCAAATAAAATAATAGATAGAAAGATGAGAGGTTTATACATAGGCATTTTTATCCCAGCTGTTTTATATTATGAGGATCACCTAAGTTTGATCAATGTGATAAAGATTACTAATATTGTTATTGTAATTTGGATTGATAATGAACGATGCCCAGAATCAACACTATCCACATACAATATGGATGTCTATTTTAAATAATAATAATAATAATAATAATAATAAATATATAATAACTCAAAAAGGTTGGTCATCCCTCTTCTAAATACTGTATAATATGAAATGATTGGCTTTGTCTTGTTCCCACATACAAAACATCCTTCATACAAAACTAAACCTTCAGAGTGCTTGTGTGTCTGTGCCTGTGTGTGTAGGTGTAGTTTCTTGCAAAAAATTAGGTAGAAGGCACATTTCTATTTCTGTATTGTAAAAGGGAGGGAATTTTCAGTATCCTCTGAAAACTTTCCTTGGGGCACTGCTGAGGTTCTTCTCTTAAAGCAGAGCTCTCCAAACCTGGCCACTTTTAAGACTTGCGAACTTCAACTTCCAGAATTCCCCAGCCAGCATGTCTTAAAAGATGCCAAACTTGGACATCCCTGTATTAAGTGGATACATCATCGGCTTTCCTAGATCTGGGCAATAGCAAAAAAAAAAAAAAAAAAAAAACCTCCAATAGATGTGTTTGGCTGTATCTTTTTCCCCATTTGGAAAACTTGCAGTTTTGACATGGTGGAACCTATTAAAATTATTTCCCAGATGTGAAGTTTTTGATTGCTGACTACTTGGGTTTTCCTGCTCTCCCCCCAAAACCTTTCGGAGCCAGTAAATGAATAAACCCAGCTTCCTTAACTACTTACAGTTGAATAAAGTAACGACGTTAATCATTTATCAACAGGACCTGCTGCACAGCATTGTTTAAACTTTATAACTACAGCTGACTTCTTCTTTTTTTTTTTTTTTTAATTTGATTTATATGCCACCCTTCTCCGGAGACTCAGGACGGCTTACAGTGCGTTAAGCAATAGCTTTCATACTTTTGTATATTTTTATACAAAGTCAGCTTATTGCCCCCACAAACTGGGTCCTCAATTTACCTACCTTAGAAAGGATGGAAGGCTGAGTCAACCTTGAGCCTGGTGAGATTCGATCTTACTTTAATTGCAGACAGCTGGTGTTAAATTACAGTGCTTAGTCTGTTGAGCTATCCAGGCTCCTATATTCCAGACTTCTGGAACATAGATGTGAAAAGCAGTCTGCCATGTAGATGTTAGCCTATAATTCCTTCTTCAAAGAGATCAGGCTCTTCCAGCCTTTTGCTCTTCAAAGATACCTGTCTATAACTGTCATTGTCCATGGAATGCTGGGCCAAAGAATCCATTATACTGTGAACCAATATACGTACTAGCTGGAAGGGACCAAATTGGAGTAAGGCTGTTTGCTCCATTTGACCAGAGAAGGCTGCATTGTTTGAGGATATAACTGAACAGCACCCCCTAGAGCCCCTAGTAATTTAGCGAGCTTGAATAAAGGGGACAATCTCTCTCTGTCCCCATATGAATCTCAGTATTCACCCAGTATTTTTAACAACTGTAATTAAAACTAGTTGGGTCAGTTTGTCATTTAATTATAGTATCATTTTGTGGAGTCACAAGGTAATTTTCTGGTTGGTTGGCTAAGACTTGTGTCATCAGAGATGGTGCATATGGGTTGATTAAGATACAAGACCAGCTAAACTCTTCTCAAAGCCTAAGTTTGATTTAATTCTGCATTTATTTAAAATAGACTTTCTTTGGAAGAGAGAGGGAGGGAGGGAGAGAGAGAGAGAGACTGGGAAATTGGCTCAGAAAGCTGATTTCATTCCGAGTTTTCAGATGAGTCTGGAAAGTTGATCTGATTTTGACTTTTGGATCTTTTTTGGAAAATCAAGTTGATCCCATTTAGACATTACAGATTGGTCCAGGAAAAATGTGTGTGCTCCTGTGCAAAAGCCTTCAACTCCCTGAACTTCGTCTGAATTTCTCCAACTGGTTTTCGAGTCAGAGGCATCCAAACAGACTTTGCATTCTTTTCTTTTCTTTTTTTTTTGCAATTCTATTCAGAAATCCAAATTATCAAACTGCTTTCTGATTAAATCTCCAAATCAGTCATACAAAACCCTTTTCTTCACAACGGTTTTCTTCACAATGAGTGTTTTGAAATATTAGGGTGAGACTAATTTAATTTTTTTTCCAAATTGTAAACATGGTGCTTATTCATTCTGGGTACGCCATAGGCTAAAATAATGGAAGAGCACTTTCTAAATATTTTCCTGCACATGAGTGGGGCTGCAAGACCATGTTAATTGAAAATTATGGAACCTGATTTGATTTTTTGAGAGTGGCTGTCTGTGGAATACTGGGAGTTGAAGTCAACATACCTTGAAGCTGTCATGGTTGAGAAACAACACTTGATATAAAGTATTGAGAGAAGGGGGATATATAGAGAAAACATATCTATCATACATACATGATGGCAGATACCAGCAAATACATGGAAACATCTTCATGTAAGTTCATACACCTTCTGTATAAAGAATTACAACTTCCTTTATGGAATACAACCCATTATTGTACTTTTAGTAATGCTGCTATGTTCAAATCATCATTTTTGTATTGGAGAGAAAGTGCCTACTTCAAATTAATTCATTTTCATTCTTCACTTCCTTGGAGGCATCACGTAGCTGAATTTCATTTGCAAGTTACTGATCTGCCTTAACATTTAAATTTAAACCAGTCGCCTTTAAGGCAATGTGAGATTAACAAAAATGAAAGCGGCTTTTTCAGATGCTATCTCTCCCCTTTATGGAGAAGGTAAATTTGTGCCTAAGCTCTGCCATTTCAGACTGTAAATGAACGCACCTCCGTATTGCAAGGAATAAAATCCTTGCCCACAGACGACTAGTGTTTCAGGGGCAAGATTAAACTTTTCTTCCTGAAATCCCTTTTCCAGGCTGCTAAGAGGGAGAGAAGGATTGAGAACAAAGTTCCTTCCTTCCTTCCTTCCTTCCTTCCTTCCTTCCTTCCTTCCTTCCTTCCCTCCCTCCCTCCCTCCCTCCCTCCCTCTTTTCTTCTTTTTTCCTTGCTATACTGTGCTGCTGTATGCTATGCTATGCTATGCTATGCTATGCTATTCTATGCTATGCCATGCCATGCCATGCCATGCCATGCCATGCCATGCCATGCCAGAGTGGGATGGCGGCCACGGAAGGCTCATCTTCGCATCTCTTGGCTTGCCTGCAGCCTGTGTAGCATGTCAGGATCAGCTGCCTTCCGCCCCGCAAGTCTGCCTCCGTCTGCTCCTGGTGCCATTACACAAAAACAAGCTTCCTGTGGCCGGCTGTCCACTCTGGCCCACTGACTTGGCTTGTGCGGCCTGTCCGGATTACCTTCCTCCACCCCACTCTTCTGCCTCCATCTGCTGCTTGGACAGGGCTGCACTGCGTGGGCTGCGCAGCTCCAGAGTGCGCCAAGGAAATGGCGGGCTGCAGTTGTTGCCGGGTACTGTCGGTCCCCATGTGCTTGATGCCTCTTCAGTGCGCTGATTACCCTGAAATCGTGAGTTTCCCTGAAAATAAGCCCTAGTGCTTATTTTGGAGCCCACAAAAATATAAGACTGGTTTTATTTTCAGGGAAACACGGTATAGCAATAGAGAGATAGAAATAGAAATAAAGAGATAGCAATAGGGATAGAGAGAGAGGGTGCATTTAACACTAAATAACAGTAAGCAATAGGGGATGCGGTGGCTCAGTGGCTAAGACGCTGAGTTTGTCGATCGAAAGGTTGGCAGTTCAGCGATTCGAATCCGTAGTGCTGCGTAACGGGGTGAGCTCCCGTTACTTGTCCCAGCTTCTACCAACCTAGCAGTTCGAAAGCACATAAAAAAATGCAAGTAGAAAAATAGGGACTGATATTACTGTTTATGACCTTGGACTGTTTTACCTACACCGAGACTGCTTATTATCTTGTATATAAAGTATTTTTCTCACACGAGCTGCACGTTTATCTCCTTCCCTGTGTGTTTATGCTCTGCTCGTTGCACAAG